TAAATTGGATCGTGCTCTCATTAATGAAAAGTGGTCTGAATTGTACGAAGAAGCTGTAACAATAGTACTAAACCCTGGACTCTCTGATCACAGTCTACTACTAATCAAGTGGGGGGCGTATCAAACATTCGAAAGTCTTCTTTTCGGTTTTTTAACATGTGGCTCCAACATCCTCAGTATCAGACTCTCTTAAGTGAGCATTGGTCCAAGGAAGATATAGGAAGTAAACAGTTCAGATTATGGAAGAATTTAAAGAATCTCAAAGGCCCGTTGAAGGAACTGAACAGAAACGAGTTCATGGATCTCGAAGCTTGGGTTGACTTGACAAACGATAGGCTGGATAGTACTCAGATGGAGCTGCAACATGATCCTGGTAACTTACAGCGGCAACTCAAAGAGAAGGAGGAACTGACGCAATATGTTGACAGCAGTAAGGCTTTACTCAGTTTCTGAAGACAAAAGCTGAAGGCTCATTGGGTGCAGGAAGGCGATGTTAACTCAAAGTTTTTCCATGCCAGTCTCAGGAAGCAGCGAACTGGAGGTAAAATTTCCTATTATATTGATACTTCTGGTAATATCATTGATGATTGGGAGGAACTTCAGAAAAAGTTTTTAGTTTTTACAAGTCTTTGCTGGGTACAGAGAGTTCTAGGAAACCTTCCAATAGTTACATTTTTCAATCAGGGATTAAACTGCCTGTATACCAGCAGATTTTCCTGATTGAAAATGTAACTAAGGATGAAATAAAAAAGGCCATGTTCAATATAGATAGTACGAAAATTCCAGGCCCGGACGGGTTTAATAGTGGCTTTTACAACGGATCATGGAATATAATAGGTGAAGATGTTATAGAGTCTGTTTTAGAATGCTTCAGCTCAGGGAAACTCTTAAAACAATTCAACACCACCCTTGTAGCACTAATACCCAAAACAAAGAGACCTAGGAATGCTGCAGAATTTTGTCCCATCGCCTGTTGTAATACTATCTATAAGTGTATCTCCAAAGTTTAAAGTATGAGGCTAAGTAGAGTGCTGCCAGAATTAGTGGCGCAGAATCAGGGTGCATTTATACAGCAAAGATCCATCCTACACAATATTCTACTTACGCAAGAGTTAATAAGACTTTATAGGAGAAAAAACTCTAAGCCTTCATGTCTGATTAAAGTTGACTTACGAAAAGCTTTCGATTCGCTGCACTGGGAATTTATTGCTGAAATGCTTCCTGAATACGGGTTCCCTCCTAAATTTACTGAATGGATTCTGGAGTGTATTAGTTCTTACAGCTACTCATTAAACTTGAATGGAAACAGTTCTGGATTTTTTGTTGGAAAGCGGGGCTCGAGGCAAGGAGATCCCCTTTCTCCCTTATTATTTGTGTTAGCTATGGAATACCTATCCCGTCTATTTCAGGCTGAAGCTGAGAAAAGACTCTTTAAATTCCATCACAAATGTGAGAAGTTGAAAATTATCAATCTCTGCTTTGCAGACGATTTGATAATTTTGTGTCAGGCTGATCTAGAAACAGTGAAGATAGTGAAAAAGACTCTTGATGACTTTGCTGAGGTAACAGGTCTTGCTGTTAACCTAAATAAGTCGATTGTCCATTTTGGTAATGTAAAGGAAGAGCAGAAATTTCAGATTCTGCAAGAATTGAAGTTTGAGCAGGGCAGCTTCCCAATTAAGTACCTGGGACTTCCATTATCCCCAGTAGCTTTGATAGAAAAAGACTGTGCAGCCATCATAGAGAAGATGGTTGGAAGGATTAAGACTTGGGAGTCTCGCCATCTTTCATATGCAGGCAGGTTAGTACTTATAAATTCTGTTCTTTTAACTCTTCATACCTACTGGTCCAACATCTTTAATATACCTAAGAAGGTGATAAATCAAATAGAAAGGCTATGTGGAACTTATCTATGGGGTGTGAAAGAGTCGGGAAAAAGCTGGTCTTTGGTAGCCTGGGAGGATGTTTGTAAGGAGAAGTCTCAAGGGGAATTGCATATTAAGAATCCAGAAATATGGAATAGGGCTTAGATAGGCAAGCAATTGTGGAATCTGGCTGAGAACAAAGAGAGTTTATGGGTGAAATGGGTTCATATCTACTATTTCAAACAGAGGGGGATTTGGGATTATGAGATTCAGGCTGATAGTGGTTGGCATTGGAAAAAGTTGATGCAAGGAAGGGATCAACTTCTGTTAGGCATAAAAGATGGAAAATGGATGCCAAATACCGGAAAGCCTTATAGCACTAAAAGGGAATATATTTGGCTAACATGCAGCTTTCCAAAAGATAGAAGCTCTCAGGTAATACGGAGTCCTTATGCTGTGCCTAAACACAGCTTTATTACATGGTTAGCAGTCAAGGATCGCCTTCTCACGCAATCCAGGCTGGCTAAGTTGGGGCTGTTAAAAGTTGCAGAAGCTTGTGAACTTTGTGCAGGCTCAAGAGAGGATGGGGAGCATCTGTTCTTTGATTGTTGATTTGCTCAGAAAATAATGCAGAAGTTGTTAAACTGGTTAGGGCTGAGAATTGCTATGAAGAGTCTATAACGTTGGATTCCAAGATTGATAAAGATTTGGAGATATCAACTGGTTAGGCAAAGGGTTCTCTTTGATGTTATCAATGCTGCCGCTTATCACATTTGGGCTGAAAGAAACAGGAGGAAATTTAGCAATCAAAGGATGAATTTTGATGAAAGAGTTGCCGCCATTATACAGGAAGTCACTTGGTCAACTCAATTTCATTGTAGATTCAGTAGTAATGATGATATTCGATTTTGTAAACTGCTGGGTATTCATATTCCTTGTAAACACTAGTATAGACTTGCTGTAAATGACAATTTGATGGTTGTATAGTTCTGAAATGCAATACAAAATTTACCTTTGATAAAAAAAAAAAATTCGGGTTGGTGAATAGGAACAATATTTTATTCGAATGGAGAGAAAACGGAAAAGAGTAACAAAAGATTCTCCAAGAATTTCACCTTATAATAGATTATTATTATTATTATGATGTGCGGTGAAATGCAAATTGGGTATGTGCCCGGTCATGTTGAGTGGGGTGATTGGTGAACATTGTCAATGACAATAATAAAACATCAAAAAGAAGAAAGAAAGAAAGAAAGAAGATCGAAAAAGCTAGGAATTTGCTAGGAGACTTATCATTTATTTTTTTCTATGCTTCAAAAACTTAATGTTGAGGCCAAGTTGTAAACTGCAACAGTGTTTGAAACGACTAGATATTTTGCTCAATGATTGATCCGAATACTCTGATTGTGTTTTAAGATAATGAAAACAAAATGTAGTTTGAATTTCTTTAGTAATATTATTATTTTGCGCAATTAATTTAGTGAAAAATACTAATCCTATAGTAGTATCTTTCTTGGATTTCTGGGGATATGAGTGAATAAGAGTGTTTAGAGGCTTCATAGAGGAAAGGCTGTATCCAAAAAGAGAGAGGGCTTCGGTAAGAAAGAATAGTGTAGTTTGAACCGTTAATCATGGTATAGTTAAACTCATGATCGGGATAGACATTGTCGGTCATCACTCATCACCCTATATTGAATATTAAAGGCCACCCAATTAAGAGTGATGATACATATCTCACCCAATTTATCTCACCTTTTCATCTCACCTTATATGGTATTTAGTTATTGGATGAAATTTAATAAGTTAATTAATTATTAGATAAAATCTAATAAGTTAATTTAATAATTTTTTGTTAGATGTATTTACTTTTTGAATACTTATATATCTAAAATTTTAAAATAAATAGACCATAACCCCAAAAGATTGAGTTTGTGATTAAGTCCATTAGGTGAGATGTTTTGCATGGATTATACACTCTCGGAAGAACACGAAATTAAAAAGCACCAAAGAACTAGGAATATCACTAGTTGTCATCGTAGAGAAGGGGTGCTATTTTATGCATTAGCTTCACGATGATGGCATAAAAGCTTCAGATGAAATTATGTATACACTTTAATATATGCAACCAAATCATGATCAATATTTAATTCAGGACATACAATTTGGATGTTTGGATATGTCAAAGCTGGAATGTATAATCATGGTTGCTCCTTGGGTTACAGGAATGCACCACTCAAGACTACAAATTAATTAAAAAATTCACCTTTACAATTAAAAGGCTTCACATGCGAGTATTATAAGGACAAATCTATACATGTGGTATTTAATAGACCCTTTAGTGGTTGCTAAGGGAACTTTGTTAATGATTAATTTGCATGCATGATCACCAAGAGAGTTTACGTGATCAACTATGCATGAAAAATAAAGAAACAACCAAGCTGCTTAATGGTTGTGGGTTAACTAATAAGGCTTAACCACAAATTTGCACGAACCGAGAAAATGTAAGAGTGATATCATGGCATACTGATAACTCGTATAAATAAAAGAAATAAAGCAGTTGTCAACACGTCAAATTAAAATGTGTAGGAAGAGTAGTCTGACCGGAAATTGCCACCCGATGTTTCTTAATCGTTGAGGAGGAGACGTATGGTCTATGTAAATCCGCCAATTAAAGAAAATTTGTTCAGAAGGGAAACCCTACGGGTCTCACTGGGCGTGCCACTTGGCAAAGCATAGATTTGTACTGACGTCTCCAGTTGATATTGAACCGACGGCCATGGCGGTATCAAAACCTTAAAACCTGCATAAGAGGGCCTCGAGGTGTCCCGAGGGTAGACACTCTGATGCTTAAGTCAGTAAGAGTAATTGTAATAGGGGTATAAATTATGGTGCATAGAGAGTACCTTTGATGTGAGGGGTTGATCTCTATTTATAGAGCTAGGGTTACCTGTTTGTGAAACCCTTTTTTTGGTAGGAAAGTAATTAGAAGCCGCTCTAGAAGCTTCCAGGGGCCGGTTGGACCGCTTACCGAACTTGGGCCGGCTTAGTCGCGGGCCGTATTAATCTAGACTCGTCACACTTATTGAACGACTCACGAGAGGGACAAAGAAACTGCAAATCGTAGCCATCGTAGGTATGCCGGGATTAGGTAAGACTACTTTGGCAACAAAGATTTATAATCATTACTCTATTGTGCATCGTTTCTCTGTCTGTGCATGTTGTACGACTTCCCAAGTGGTTGACAAAAAGAAGGTGTTGCGTGACCTCTTAAACCAGACTGACTCTGACAACAAATGTTCTGAGGTCAGTGAAACTGATTTAGAAGTAAAACTTTGGCGAAGTCTTAAAGGAAGGAGATATCTCATATTCCTTGATGATATTTGGGACGCCAAAGCGTGGGATAGCTTAGAAAAATCGTTTCCTGATGACAATGTTGGAAGTAGAGTTCTTTTGACAAGTCGTTGTCATGATATGGTTGATCCAGAACCTTATCATCTCAGTCCACTGAGCAAAGAGGAGACTCTGAAGTTATTGAAAGTGAAATTATTCCCCGGAGACAATTGTTGGCCTCCTGAATTGAGTGATCTTGCAAAGAAAATATCAGCATTTTGTAAGGGCTTACCGTTGAAAGTTATCATTGTAGCTGGACTTCTGGCGACTAGAAAGACACAAGATTGGAAGGAAATGCTGGATGCCTTAAGCTCATCTGCTGTGTTGAGTACGGATCATTGCAAGAGCACATTGGAGCTGAGCTATACTAGCATTTACCAGATGAATTGAAGCCCTGTTTTCTCTATTTCGAGTTTTTCCCAAAAGATGCCGAGGTCTCATCCTCCAGGTTGATTCGTTTATGGATAGCTGAAGGGTTCATTCGGAAATCCGAGATGCAATCCTTAGAAGATCTTGCCGAAAGTTACCTGAAAGATTTGATTGGCAGAAGTTTAATAATGGTTGTTAGAAGAAGATGGGACGGTGTGGTGAAGTTCTGCCACATCCACGACTTGCTTCTTGAATTTTGTTTAGCAAAAGTTAAATAAGAGCATTTTATTCATTTTGTGGAGGGGCGTGGTGGGATTTTATCATTCAAAAAGCCCCGCAACCTCAGGAGCTAATTCATTGATGCTGAGGCTGCAGATATCGAACAGGCCACATTGTTCTGTCCCCATGCACGTTCTATACTTTTCAGGCATTTTCCATGAATTGTTGCACAAATTTGTCTCCTGTGATTGCCTTCTACAAGCTTCTAAGAGTGTTGGATTTAGAGCAAGTTCATCAGATTAATAGTTTTCCAGATGAAATAGGATTGCCTGTTCAGTTGGTCTTCCTTGCAGTTAAAGTTGCTATAAAGGGCATCCCATCATCGATAGATAATCTGTTAGAAATTTATCCGGAGGAGAAAGCTCGACATAGAGCCCAATAAGTAAGATAAGACCCATCTAAACTAAAAAACTCAAGTTAATGGGTTCTGAGTCCACCTTACTTATTAACTGATTCACATGTCATCACGCCCCCGATGTGGGATTCACAATCCTTGCTACATGACCCTCAACATTCTCCCCCGTCATAGGTAATCTCCACATCGGGCTTCCAAATTATCTTAACAAGCCCAAATCTGTACTCCACATGAGTAACTGGGTTGTCCACCCCTACGTTTCCACTCGTAGTGGGCCTTTGACTGTCCGGGTTCAGTCAGATCAACCGAGATAATTTGGGCTAAATCACCCACCTAACTGGCCTCACATGGGCTCTGATACCAATTGTTGGGATCTTCCTTCCCTAGCCCAGTACTCATTAAGCCCAATACGTAAATCCAAATGAGGTTCCATTCTAAAACCAATTGGTAATAGAGGGAGTAATTAACCCATTAGACTTATATACTGAGTTTGAAACTCTCCCATCACCAATGTGGGATTGGGTTTGCACACCCAACAAACCTCCTCTCAAATACAAGACCACACTTGGGCCTCCCCTTCAACGACAATGCAACTTGTACTGCCGCTATCACCCCCAGAATACGCCAACTGACCCACCATTATCAGGAAGACTTTTGACACAAGGCCCACAACTAGGCACCCGATTCCACTCCTTGAGCCCAAGAGTCGTTGCAAGGTCAAACTGGGAGAACACGCCATGCTATCCACGCATCAACAGGACTAGAACTATGGTTCTGACATGTTAGGGATTTATCCGGATGAGAAAACCCAACATGGAGCCCAATAAGTAAGATAAGATCCATCCGAACTCAAAAACTCAAGCTAATGGGTTCTGAGTCCACCTTACTTATTAACTGATTCATATGTCATCATGCCTCCGATGTCAGATTCACAATCCTTGCCACATGACTCTCAACATAATCTCTCTAATTTGGAAACTCTTATTCTGGTTTCAGAGTTCAGCTCTCTTCCATTTCCAGACATTTTCTACAATCTTCGAAAATTGAAATATTTGGATATACGGTGTCGTCGTTATGGTGGTTTCCTGCCCATCGAAAATATTGATAATTCGTCCATTCTACATGAGTTGGAGATGGTTTTGGGTTTGGCTATTCCTTATGATAGAAGCATCTTTCAAAGGCTAATCAGAATTTTCCAAGCATCCTTAAGTTGGAATGCCAATTTCTCCTTGATAATAACAATCACATGATTGTGGTTGATGCCTCTTTCAGCAAATTGGAATCACTTGATGTGTCAGCTCCCTGTACGTGTGAGTGTGACTTCAGTTTGTCTGCTAGTCTGAAAAACTTAAAGTCGTGGAATTTGATATTGTTGAAGAGGACTGTTTCAGCCCTTGGTAAACTACCAAACCTTCAGATCCTCAAGTTAGTTGAAGTCGGATTCGAAGGGAAAACATGGGAAATGGATGAAGGGGAGTTCTCCAATCTTAAAATATTGAAATTACGTTCAATATGGAACCTTGTCTGGTGGAGAGGTTGCGACGATGATCAATTTCAATGTTTGGAGAAGCTGGTACTCGTCGATTATCATGTCTTGAGAGAGTTGCCTTCTTGTCTATTCAACAATTCAACACTTGAAGTGATTCATATTTTTTCTTGCTCTGAAATTGTAAAGGAGACGGTGAGATAGATTGAGGAAGTGTTGATGGATTACGGAAATTCAAATCTCGAAGTCATCAATTCATATGAATCATGTTTTGATGCACTCTATCTTCCAAAGATGTTGAAGTCTCTTTCATCTGTATATTTGGAAAGACTGAGATTGATAGGTTTTGAGTTGTCTCACAAGAATATTGCAGACATTGGAATGTTGCCAAACCTGGAAATGCTCGAACTTATCAACATGTCCTTTGAGGGTAACACATGGGAACTGCAAGAAGGGGAATTCAGCAGACTTAAAATCTTGAAGGTGATGTCTAGCGACCTTGTCAGCTGGAGATCACCTAGCGACAGTGATGATCCGTTTGGCTCTCTTGAGAGGTTGGTATTGACCAGTTGTTTGGATTTGGAAGAGATGCCTTCTTGTTTAGAGTATCTTTCAACACTTGAAATGACTGAGGCTAATGATTGTTCTGAGACTGTAAATACATTGGTGAGGCACATCCAGGAAATGCAAATGAATTATTGGGGATGTTCTGGGTTTAAGGTCACGATTCGACCATCATATGATTGATTTTTTCCACACCTTGTTACTTGTTAGGTTGCTACTCTTTAATATATATATATGCTTGGTTCTATTCATTTGGAGTCATTACTGATTGATATTTATAGGGAAATAGATAGCATCTCTGTATCTTCTCATGGAAATGAAAACTGATGAGTAAATTTTTCTCCCTATATATTCAGCGGCCTTAGTTTTTCAGTGTATCTCCTTTTTCTCGCTTCATACACTTTAAATTTCAGTTTCTCTCAGGGTAAACCAACTTGGAATTAGGGCTCCATAAACAAGTATTCCTTGGAGAAAAGTGTAGTTTATATATTATGGCGTGAAGTTTAATCAGGATTTTTAAGTCATGTCCTTCAAATAATTTGGATTGCCCAACATGTTCTTCAAGTTTGTCTCTATATAAGTAATAAACACAAACTGCTGCCTATCTTAATGTGACAGGTTTGGACCGTTTGGTACAACATCTATCCCATTTTGTGTTGCTTCAGTAGCCATTGGCATTACACCACACTTGTGTTCTTTAGCAAATGAACAAAATTCAATGGGGGAAAAAAATGCAGGATCACCAGAGAAATAACAAAATTGCAGCCATCCAAAGAAGAAGACATGGGAACACCTGTAGTGCTGAAAATGTAAAGCAATATGCAGCAGCAGAAATTCAAGGAAAAATCAGAAGCACCCAAAAGAAACGAACAAAATGCATCAACTGTGCTCCACCTTTTATAAATGATGTGACATGCATCAACTTTGCTCCATCTTTCTCATGCAGCCAAACAGCATTGCTGAGGCAGAAGTTGGTGTTGTTCTCTATGATGTTGGAGTCTTATTTGGCTCACCGGTCTACTTGTCAAATCATCAACGAGACCTTCCATTTCTTGGGAATGTGTCAAAATCAGTGAAGATTATCCAGGCTAAATATGGAGATGAAGATCCAGAAGCACCCGGATTCAACTTTCCGATCATTAATCAGCTGTGTTACTTTGATTTTGTTGTCGAAAAACTCACTCAGGTGTCTGCTACCCAAGTAGCACGAAACGTCAAGAGTCGTCTTATTCAGTCTGTCCAACAACAACACCATCCCTTAAGATCCTTCTTGGGGGACATTGTCCAGCCTCGCCATGAACATGAGGACCTCCAAACTCTTGTGGGATGATGTTTCCTAATGGATGAACATCTTCAAGATTCCTTCCCGCCATTGTCTGATTCCATCCTGAAAGACATAAGGATTCATATAATGCCCAAAATTGAGCGCAACAAGCCAGATATCCAAGTCATACCAACAACCATCACTTACAGCCACATGCCCTCACCAGCTGATTGAGGCCAATGATTGTTCTGAGACTGGAAATGATATGGTGATGCACATTGGGGAACAACAGGTAAATGAGTGGGGAAATTCAGGTTTTCAGGCATTGTTTCCACACACTTTGTTTTAGCTAGATTCCTACTGGTTATGAATTTATTTTCGGTTAATGAGTATATTCATTTGGAGCCTAGCATTGTCCGTGGAAAAGATTGCATTCCATCTCTGACTCTCTCTCTGTACGCTCTCATGGAAATGAACAATGAAGATTACATTTTGCCCTTTCTCGAGTGGTTTTCTGCATCTCACTTTTCTCACTTCATACACTTAAAAGTTCTGTTTCCCTCAAAACAATCAAGTGCGAGTTAGTTTAGTTTGGTTTAGGATATTTGTCCTGAAGTTTGATCAGAAATTTTAAGTGTAATATACCATACTTCAAATATGGAATACATCATATGTTCTTTCCTCAAGTTCTTCTTAAGCCAACATACATGCGCAACTGCAGCCCATCTTAATTTGACAGATTTGGTTCAACATCTAATCCCATTTCCTGTTCCTCAGTAACCTTTGGCATTACACCATACTTGTGTTTTCTTCCAAATACTGAAAATTCTGATGGGAAAAAGTAACTGTGCAGCATCACCAGAGAAATTACAGTAACTGCAGCCACCCAGAGAAGAAGACAAAACGAGACTACCTGTACTCCTGTAGTATGTGCTCAAAATGTAAAGCAGTACGCAACAGCAAAAATAATGCAAACTTTTGAGTTAAAGCGGGCACGAAAAAATTTCTCACCGGAGAGAGCTAATGCAAGAACATAAAACCTCTGGATTCTGAAATCATTGACTACAGAACTTCTTGTTCACAACAAAGATTATCAACTCGGTGTGCTTTTAACTTATCAAATTCATCCATCACAATTACAAAATCTCTTTTGATATTTCATATGCCATTCGTCCCAAAACCATTACTCCCTCCGTCCCATAATTATTGTCCACTTTGCCCAAAAAAATTTGTCCCAAAATTTTTGTCCAATTTGACTTTTTATGGATCAAGTTACACATTTGTCCTTAGTAAAAAACATTATCCATAAAATCTTAGTAGTTAAACAATTACTTATGTAGGGGTATATCCGGTTGTTTAAGGTAAAATATAGTTAAGTTTGACCAAAAATAAAATATTTCATTTTAGTAAAATTGGACAATAATTATGGGACGGAGGGAGTATTTGTTTACTGTACTAAAATTGTGCAATAAACGGCATATTTCATCCCAAAAATCAAGCTTGATTTCATCCCTGGTTCCATACTGGCTCAAAATCTTTTCCAATAAAAGAGGAAACAACTTTAGTAAAATCCCTGTAGTCCAATGGATTCAGTTCATGGAATCTAACAGACAGTAATAGTGTCTCACCTACCAGTACTTTTCTGTCTTGTTATATAAAAAATTCAAAGAGAGCTCGGTCTTTATTGTCCATTGTCCCCCCATTGAATCTTTGCGAAAAATGCCGCAACCATTTTAGATTTCGACCGATATACTTACAAGTTACAGCCATGTTCCCCCATTAAAAAAAAAATTGGAAAAAATCAATTTGATTGATTAAGCTAAATAGCTAATCAGTGAGCAAAGTATGTCAGTTTGTTGGGCTTGAAGAGGTAGTTAATGGACCCTTACATACAATTTTTATTAGTACCTACAATCATCACAAATATTCCTCTCTGCCGATTCAAACCCATTTTCCAAAGCAAATCGAAGTTAAGACAATGTCCCTTCACCAAACCATTTGATGTTGAAGTTATAGACTTTGGGAAGAGATCAATGATGATGAAGAGGCTGCTATAAAAGGGAAAACAAGGGGAGATGCAAAGAATCTTTTTGGTGGATTCTTCCATACTAGATTTTATTAATGTATCTACTAGGAAGGAACAGCTAAGAAACGGTGGCCCAAAAAAAAAACAAACATGATTATGGTGAAAGTCAAGAGCATATATATATATATATATATATATATATATATATATATTTGTACAAACACATGGTGTAATCATGAATTATTTTTGCAAAGTGAACAAAGTTGTGGTAGAAAATGTGTCTTTTTCATTTTTACCTCACCTCAAGGAGTTAGTCAATTTAAATGATCAATTTGAAAAATTTATTAAGTTGAGATACACTTGTCATCATGATTTGAACTGTTAATTCTTATATATTACGAGTGGTTCATAACATCCATTTTCCACGGGGAACACACATTCTATTCATTTAGCTAGAGATGGCTGAAATTTTTGTTCTGAACATATTGCAACTTGGAAGAACAAAAAATACTGGTTCATTACATTAGAACTCAGTGAACACTTAAACAAGCATATATTCTCAAATTACATCACAGCATCACGTCTGCAAGTTTTACGTTGTTGTCCAATTTATGCAAATTAATTTTAGCTAATTTCCAAACACGATGACGGAAAAGACTGAAGAAAGGAAGAAAAGTCTTGCTATCCTACATAAAAGTGTAATGCAATTTGGTTGTCGACATGTGTTGTGTGAGTTAATAATACTTGGAATTAAGTCCCAACTTGGCCTTGGATTTTTCAGCTATTTCTGATATGCTTCTAAAAAACTTTTGAGGGCTCGACACTTGCAAGTTACAACTTTCAACAGCGATTTGCTTGGAAACGAGATATTTTTGCAGAATAATTGATTCCAATTGACGAATCATGTTGAGTATTCTTATTTGCGTAATTATTTTAGAGCAATGAGTACTTTGTGTTCCCCTTTTTCTTAAAATAATTGTTTTGCTTGATATATTATAATAAAAAATTCTAAACTTGGCTATTATTTTGGAACAAAGAATGTATGCTTTATTTTCTTCTTCTTTTCGTGTCCCAAAATACTCCCCTGTCAAAAAATAAAAATAACAAAAAAAATAGTCCACACTAGTTATGAGATTTGTATTATTTTCACTACAAATCTCAAAATGCAGTAACTATTTTTTGGGACAAAAAAGGTAAATAATAAGTGACATAAAATAACATAAAATCATTGTACTATTTTGATGAAAATGAATACTCCTTAAAAAGCCCAAAAGAAAGAAGATAAATAATAATAATAAATGAATAAAAGGCCGACATTACTCCTAATAATTTCTAAATTGCTGTCTTGACTGACTTCTTTTGATTGTTTTCTTGCTCTACCAATCCTTATGAATCATTAATGTCGCTTCAATAATTGGTCTTTTAACAATTTTTGAGGAATTTTCTTTTGTCAGCTATGCAATCTACATCGTGCAATGCCAAGTGGTGGCTTAGAAGTCAAGAGTGCGGAGGCTTCCCGTGACGTTGGAGGAAAAGCTCTGTTAGAAATTACACGTGAAAAAGCGAAGTGAACGATTTGAACAACATACGATTAATTCTTTCATATTTTTTAAAAAATTATGTAATTAATAAAAGTATGAATTAATTATTAAGCAGGGTCGTGGGACATTTATCACATATTCGTGGAAAAAATAATTTTGTAATATATTATACGTTGTCTTTACAAGGGCCTCATGAAATGAGAGACCGATTAACATACTCTTTAAATGATTTTTCTTTTCTTTTTTTTTTCTTAACCTCCTTAAATATGTTAATTTTTCTTTTAACATTGTAGTTTGAAGCAGATTAAGGACAATTAATGCCAATGGGTGGGGGGGGGGGGACCAAACATGTATTTTACATCTTAAACCCCAAGAAATGAGATCCTGGCAAATCACTTGGAGATATTTTTTAATGGCTGGGGCGAAAGACAAATCCTCAATAGTATATTTAGTTGTCACCTTTTTGCCATTCGATCAATACGCTTAATTTTTATTATGTTTTTAGATTGTTATAGAAGGTGCTAGAAAGGGGATTAACAATTTGAAAAATTGGAGTTTAGACAAGGGACTATGATCCGAGAATTTTTTTTATTTAAATCCAAATAAGTTAATGATTGGAAATTAATGTAATTTGAATAATAATGATGACAAACTTAAAGAAAAGAATTAAAAAACCTGTTAGGGAACTCCCAATACCTATATGTAACTTAAGTTTAAAACAGTATATTAATTTTTAATGGGATAAAGTTTATATACAAGTGAAATGTTGATATAAATTCGAAGTTTACTGAAAGCGGAAAAAAAGGATATTTAGCTGATAAAAACTTAGGCTCTGTTTGTTTACATTTCTACTACGTTTTTGTTAAAATTAAATATTAATAACTGTTCAATCTCAGTATACCTTTTTTACATTCCCAATATATTTTTTTATATTTAAAAAAAAACCTAAAAACACGCACTAAAAAAGGAAACTAATAAACTATATGCACCAAGTTGGAATTTCTTTGAATAGTTGGATGATTTCTCGGGGATTTTCAAATGTGTCCCTTCTGATTAATTCAGACTGTGATCCAAACTTTGTGGAGTGCCACGAAAATGAAATGCTGATATTTCAGGGTAAGAAGAAGCTATTTTCACAAAGTGATTAAAAAAAAAAAAAAGGAAAAGAAAAACGTGATCGAAGTAGTCAAAGTTGCCACACGAGAATTCTTTTTAGTGGCCATTTGTCTGCATACTCTACACTCTCCCTCTTTCGTGGCAGCTCTAAGCTTACATAAATTCATTATATCTCATTTTTAAGAGAACTCCTTTTTACCTTGTGAAAATCTTGGTCATGATTAAGATAAATAAATAGATGTAAATGAACCCACAAAAAGAAAAACATTTTGTACTCTGAAAAATAAAAAAATAAAAATCATTTCGTTTCAGAAAATGATTTGTCATATTAACTTTAACAATTTAAAAATACATAGAATAGCTTTTCTTCCCATTGCATGTATAAAGAGTTTGAATATGAATTTTCCTTTTTTTTTAAAAAAATAATAAAATAAAATTATGCACTGCCGGTAATTATGAAAAGAGTTAGGAGTAAATATATTGGAAGATCATGTACCATGAATGATGCCGGATTAAGATCCTACCAAGTAAAACATTATCCTCTGTAACCGATTCATCCTAATCTTTGATCAATGCACAGCAAGACCAATAAAAAGAAACAAGAAGTTCATTCATGTCTCCCTATTTTTAGGTTTGACCTTTAACCTCCGACAAATTACAATTTCACCTGTCTTAAATTCTCAGACCACACAATTTTGCGTCATATAGTGGTTGTTTTTTTGTAAAAAAAAAATACTTACTGGTTTCCAAGTCAAACATGAATTCTCCTGTTTAAGACTCTTATACTACTTCACAATTTTCACTTTTGTTCCTTATCCCTTTTACCCTATTAAAGCAGAAAACATAAGCTTATGTGGCAACTACGTATGCATCTGTTTTGGCTCCAATGCACCATATTTCAAATTTCATAAGTTTTTTTGCCACATGTAATCCCTTTTACCCTATTAAAGCAGAAAACATGAACCTTATGTGGCAACTACGTATGCATCTGTTTTGACTCCAATGCACCATATTTCAGGTTTCATGAGTTTTTTTGCCACGTGTAAGTCTTTTTTAATTAGAAGCTATATAATTTTTTTTTAAAAAAAAACACACATGTTTTATTACAAATAAGGATCAGTTACATTTCAAACGATTGATATATTAATTCAAATTCAAATGTCCAATCGTATAGTTTTGCAGGCTTAATATAAACAAAAAAATAAAAATACCTAAATCCAGCAATTAAGAATAATGCCTTATAAACTAATTATTTATTATTCCCTTATAACCTCATATTTATAGGTATATTTTTTAAGCCCCACCCATAGCATAAATGATATATACGCCAAATTAATTTATCAAAAAATAGTAATTCAATTAGATTTTAATAAAATAGTAATTTAAAAGGGGCGCCGGGCATCTGCCTGGGCCAAACATCTAGTATTACATTATAATATGTCACATTCTTTTACTTTTATAAAACACAAATTAAATTCCGAAAGGAAAACTAAAACACGGAATTCCAAAAGTTTTAATTTTTGGGCTATAAATAACCCGCTCGATCGCCCCTTCCCCAGCATGAATTTCCTCGCAACTTCTCTGTCCATATAGAGCTACATTTATAGCCTCCCCTAGCTACTTATAAATTTCCATTTCTTGCACCAACCGGTTTTCAATGATAATTGTGTGCCTGTTATGCCTCATTTTCGTCTAGGAATCTGACCCGTGAATATTCGTGTGTTTTTTTGGATTCTTATCAGTCAAACCCAACTCATTTTACTATTTCATATTGATCCCTTCAGTCAGTCAGCATTATATATAGCTATCTTTCTAGTGTCATTTCTTTTGTGCTCTCCTTAATTTCCAAGGTTGTGTGGGTAGAAGAAATCAATCAAAATTCTTACTCCATTTATTTGGTGCATTAATAATGTATGCACCTAATCGTATGGAAGTTGCCAAAGTGGCCAATAGTGGTGATGAAGATGATTTAGTAGTGGAAGAAGTGAAAAACAACTACGAAGAAGATGATGATGATCAAAATGAAAACCCTTCTTCTCCACCTCCACAATCACAACTCAAAGGGAAGAACCTTTCATGGTACAAACTCAGGAGATACGACTCTTTAGACATCGAATCTCGCAAGTTTGGTTCCACTCACCACTCTAAGGTTTGGGTTTTTTCTTGTCTTTTACTTTTTTATAATATATAGTTTTTTGATATTTGAACTAAACTCAGAACGTGAGATTTACTAATTCTTTTTAGTGTGTATTTTTAAACACAAACATTAAACCAAGAAAAGAAAATACATTTTGACTTTATGAATATCGCATTTCCTACCTGTACCTACAGAAACTCATTATATATGACATCATTATTTAATCAAGCATGGAGTTGATGTTAATACCCTTTTTTTTCTTCTTTTGTGAAGAATGGAGAACAGTGGTCTGTAATACTACATCTGGCGTTCCAGAGCATCGGAGTGGTGTACGGAGACATCGGAACTTCGCCGTTATATGTGTACGCCAGCACTTTCACCGGAGGAATTAAGCACAACGATGATATCCTTGGTGTTTTGTCCCTGATTTTCTATACCATCACCTTGATACCTCTACTTAAATACGTCTTTATTGTTCTTCGGGCCAACGACAATGGCGATGGTACGTAACACTTCTTCATCATCTGCTCTCCTCACATGCATTTCAATTATTTGGGCTTACTAATTTTAAGTTCTAGTGCATGTTTAATTGCCTCTCAAATTCGTATCTATCATTTTCCAGAACATGAGTATAGTAGATTAATGAATGAAATGAACCACTGAAGAAAATTATACTAACCAAACGTTATTTGTTATGCTCCCAGCTGTTTCATTTTAGTTTAACTAAATGGCGAGATATAATGTTATGTTCGTATTGTTGCACCATCGACGCTATTTTACTCAACAAATTAATTGTATTCTCATAATATAAAAGATGCTAATTTTCCTAGGATTTCATGGGGTTTTGTTCCTTATTTTTTCCAAAAGATTCTTAAGCAATATAATAATGAGGTGCATGGAGATACATAATTTGTTCTCTCAGTGGTACAAACCAAAAGAAAAGTATATTGTGTATAATCATTTTTTGTCGTTTATTGACAAAAAGTCAGTCAACAGTGAGGCTGCATCTCTAATTTTATCGTCTCCAAATTGAAACATGTTACCACCTAGGAATATTAGTAGTTTGTAGCCTAGTAGGAATTAACTATTGACTAACTACTTAGTGCATGTGGTTGAATTATTGAACTTAAGACAAGTCTAAGATCCGTGATAATCACAGAAAAAGATAACATAATATCATTAAAAAGTTAAAAGAAAAAAAAAAAAGAATTCAAGGATCCATATAATTCCAAGCATTTTGTGAACTATAATGGAGGTTACTTAGTCAATTAACAAGCAAACCACCACTTTTATGAACTAATTTAGGCCGTGTCTCAATCACCATATCTACATCACTTAGATGTTAATTAAATTAGTCAGACATGATGGTCTGCTAAATGCAATTATGTCCGTATATTTGTCTAATGCTTAATTAAAGATGTAATTTGCTTACCTGGCCACAAGATAAAGAATTTGATTTTTCGAACTTTTCCTTGATGCACCACAAATGGGTTTGAAATGATTTCTTGCATGTTGCTATCTTAAATACTGTACCTTTTTTTTTTTTTGTCGAAAAAATACCATACTTTTAAATGGTTGATAATTCTTACCAGAGACATTTTTCTTTCTTTATATTGTTTTGAATTTATTTTAAAAGTGAGTCTATTGTGTTTAATTTTAGGTGGGACATTTGCGATGTACTCGTTGATATGTCGGTATGCAAAAGTGGGCTTAACTCCAAGTGAAGAAGCATCCGATCAAGATGTCTCCACATTTCAGCTAGAAATGCCTAATCACAAGTTGCGAATTGCCTCCAAACTCAAATCCAAGCTGGAAAACAGCAGATTTGCCAAGTTTTTCTTGCTTTTCGCCACCATGCTTGGCACTTCCATGGTTATCGGTGACGGTGTTCTTACTCCTTGCATTTCAGGTATCCTTAACACTCGTATTACATCTTATCGAAATACTCTTTCCGTTCCAATTTTTTCTGTTTATGGTTATATTAAAATAGTTCAACAAACACGATTTTTATTTTTCGACCAAAAAAATCCTATAAGCTTTTTTTTTTTTTTTTGGATAAGCTAATTTAAAATGGAGGATTATACCATATACATAGATTGACTTCGACTACAATTCATGGGACATCTACAGTCTCTAAGAGGTCTAATGGTCCATTTTGTTTGGAGTACATTTTGGAAATAGGTTACATGTTTAGGACCACGAGGCCTTGGAAATATGGGCCAACTGAATGATGATACTATATCCTTTTCTGATTTCTTAGACCTTTTCATTTTGATCCATTTTTGCTTCCACTAATTAAATGATTGAATAAGGCCACAACACAAGTGGTCCAACAAACACGGCCTACAATGTTTAGGGACCTTAAGTTATTGTTTACTTGCCGAAACAAAATAAAATTTTCTTTTTCTTTTTTATTTCGTTGGAAATCTAATCTCTAACTATTGAGTGAGGACTAATAAGTTTTGTGATTTGGATTACAGTTTTATCAGCTGTAGGAGGGATCAAAGAAGCCACCGACTCCATGACAGAAGGTTATTACACCAAACACTCTCTCCCGCCCAAAATCATTTTTGTTTGTGCAAATTCTTTTTCAAAACCGCGCCGTGAATGCATTTCATTAAAAGAAACACTAATTGCTGAAGTTTTGATACATTTGCATAATTATGATATGATATTTCAGGTCGGATTGTCATGATTTCGGTAGCCATTTTGGTGCTCCTCTTCACTTTTCAAAGACTGGGAACCGACAAAGTGGGCTACACATTTGCACCAATAATCTTGGTTTGGTTCGCCTTCAATGCTGGAATTGGTGTATTCAATTTCATCAAGTATGACCCATCTGTTGTAAAAGCCATAAATCCAGCATACATTGTGGACTACTTTAAAAGGAACAAAAAGGATGCCTGGATTTCCCTTGGTGGAGTTGTACTTGCAATTACAGGTAAAAAAAAAAAAATTCATTCCTTTCTTTCGTCTACAAAAAAGTTGTAAATAAATAATTTGGTCCTTACTAACTTAATTCATGTATATGTGTATGTAGGAACCGAAGCATTGTTTGCAGACGTTGGTCACTTTAGTGTACGATCAATACAAATTAGTATGTGTACAATCACTTACCCAGCGTTGATATTAGCCTACACCGGACAAGCTTCATACCTCCGCAAGCACAACTTGGATGTTCCCGATACCTTCTTCAAGTCCATTCCCGGTATTAATATAATATTCCAATACCTCTTTTAATTCTTTTAATAATTATCTCATTCATAATAATAGTCGTGTTTCGAAAACTAATTAACTAGTTCGATTATATAGCATGACCAAGGTATTTAAAATGTTGTTTATTTGTAGGACCAATGTATTGGCCAATGTTTGTGGTGGCTGTATTGGCTTCCATTATAGCCAGCCAGGCTATGATATCAGGAACTTTTGCAATAATCCAACAATCCCTTTCACTTGGATGCTTTCCTAGAGTGAAAATCATTCACACCTCCAAGAAATATGCAGGACAAGTTTACATCCCTGAGATTAATTACCTTTTGATGGTTGCTTGTGTTGCCGTGACGATTGGATTCAAAACTACCCAGAAGATCGGCAATGCATATGGTAAAATTTTTAACTCCAATTAATCATTACAAATTACAATGATTTACAGTACAATTTTAGGATCCCCTGTTTGCTGAATTCCCCTGTTTCTGAATTCAGGGATTGCTGTGGTTTTTGTGATGTCACTCACATCTGCATTTCTGGTGCTGATCATGATCATGATTTGGAAAACCAACATTTTCCTTGTGATTTCATACATCCTCATCATTGGTTCTGTGGAGCTTCTCTACTTAAGCTCTGTGCTCTATAAATTTGATCAGGGAGGTTACTTACCATTAGCCTTTGCAATGGTGTTGATGCTCATCATGTTTGTGTGGAACAATGTGTACCGGAAAAAGTACTATTTCGAGTTGGACAACAAGGTTTCGCCGGAGATGCTTCAGGGGATCGTCGCCGATACAAAGACGAGTCGCGTGCCGGGCCTCGCGGTCTTTTATTCGGAGCTTGTTCACGGCATTCCCCCCATCTTCAAGCATTACGTCGCGAATGTTCCCGCGCTCCACTCGGTTTTAATCTTCGTGTCGATCAAATCGCTGCCGATCAGCAAAGTTCCGATCGAGGAGAGGTTCCTGTTTCGGAGGGTGCGACCGAACGACCTCAATGTGTATAGATGCGTGGTGAGATACGGGTACACGGACGCACACAACGAGGAAGAGCCGTTCGAGCGAATGCTGGTCGAAAGGCTGAAAGATTTCGTGAGGGAGGACTTCATGTCTCCTGTTTCGGCAGAAGAGAGTAATGACGGAAACAATGAACACGAAGAGGATATCGCGAATCGAGCCGAGTTCGAGAAGCAGCGACAAGAGGTGGCGATGGCGAGAGACATTGAGTTGGTGGACAAGGCATGGAGGGGAGGAGTGGTACATCTAGTAGGAGAACATGAAGTGATTGCTGGAAAAGGAGCTAACATTGGGAAGAAAATAATGATTGATTATGCTTACAATTTCTTGAAGAGGAATTTAAGGCAGAGCAACAAGATATTTGATATCCCTCATAAGCGAATGCTCAAGGTAGGAATGACCTATGAGTTATAAATGTTGTATACATAAAGTAGGGTGAACCAGTATTCTAGTCACAACGTTTGGCAAACCGTTAAGGTGTAATGTAATTAGCTAGCCAGCTAGTAATTTCTAACATGACCAAAGTGTTATTACTTTGGTTTTGGCCTTTAATCGTCCTTGTAATAATAATATCCTCTTTGTATGAAAAGTTTTACTCCCTTCATTCCAAGAAATTGTTCAATTTTCATATTGATTTTAACATAATTAATAAGATAATTATTTTAGAACAAACTGCCAAGAAATTATCATCCTTTTGGATGCTAGTGATATATGTCTATATTGAATAAACATTCGGGGATGTATGAATTACCATGTCTCTATACTAGAAATGGTAGTTAACAAGCGTTGAATTTTGTCCATCAAATTATTTATAAATGTCAAAAGAATATGAAACTATTGCTTGTGATCATCACCACCAGCTGTATGACAATCAAATTTTATTGGATCATTTATAATATCACTAATAAGTGATGATTATTAAAATATTTTCCTCTCCCCTCTCACTAAACAATTTCTTATCGGAATTTTCCTCCTCCCCCAACCTCCTTTAATGGTGGTTGGGGAGTTGTCTTTTTTTCTCTATCACCAAGTCTAGTTCCATCTCCGGCACTGAAACCTCCTCCAAATCCACCCCCTACACCACCGCCAAAACCACCACTGCCTCCAAATCGCCCCCGGCGAAGTGGTTACTGCCACCCCATCTTTTCTGGCATCCAAACCGCCGGAACCCTCTTCTGTCGTTCGGATCCATCTTCTGCCGCCCTTCGCCGACCAGATCCGTCCTAAGCCGCCCTTTGCTGGCCAGTACCACCCTCTGCCGCCCTTTGCCGCCCAGATCCACCCTCTGCCGTATCCACCTCTGCTGCCTTCGTCACCCTCCCGCTGCATCCCTGATCTGATGGAGTCTATGTCAGTCCGGATTTGGTTGTTTTTCTATTGTAGTGTTTTAATTCAATTAAGTGGGATAACCCACCCTCAGTATAGATCTCAGATTGATTCTTTACTGAGTGAATTTAGTGTGTCAACGGAACCGAGTCCGTTGGTCGAGTCCGAATTTGATGTGTGCTGTTCGTCATTCATGACAATAAATTTGTGCTTTAGTCTGCGGATTAGTGATATATTCGAGTTCAGACTTTTATTCTGTTCCGTGATATGTCCGACAATAGAATTATGTCATTATAGGATTGTTTTTCCTTTTGGCAGTTTTTTTGGTCTAGTCACTGGTGCAGTGATTAGTACCGTGAGTACGTCGTTAGGACGGTTAAAGTACGTCATTTTGGACGGTCTGTTCTTGTATCAAATGGTGCTGGACCATTTTCAGTAATTTTAATGGAGTATGTTTTCCTTAAAAAAAATAATAATAAGTGATGATTACTGTAAGATTACCCAAAATCGAAATTGGCTCAAATCTTCCATTTTATCCATTAAAAGAGAAAAGAAACAAAAACATAAATCAAAGTTCTGTTTAAATATATACCGTAGAGATTAATGTGAAATGATGTTTCTATGAGTACTAGTAACGTCTGGTCGCACAATGCGTGACCCTAGCCCAATCTATCTGTAGATTTTAAAAATATTTATATTTGAAAAAAAAAATTTGTATTTGGAGCGATATATTTTAGAAATGTTTGAAAGATTTAGAAATGTTTTATAAGTGTGATCATAGAAATATTTGTATTTAACCAAAAAAAAAAATTATATTTCGCTATATATGTTTTAGAAATGTTTTATAAGTGTTACTTATTAAATATAAATAGACTTAATCGAATATATGTGTTGAAGTAAATATTAGATAAAATATAAAAATATCCTAATAAGTTTAAATATTAGTAAGATGATTTATTGATGTTCTCCATTTGATCGTGCCAAATCAATACTTAATTTTGGAGATTTATAATAGCTTTGTAATAAGTTTCATCCGAATGGTATACGCTTAAAACAAAATTGACACTTTATAACAAAAACCTAATTGATCAATTCAATTTAGACTCCATAATTAAGAAAAGAAAACCACTCTAATTGAATGAAACATAAATAAAAAGTTAAAAAAAAAACGTGTCACGTAAAGTGCAAAGGGAGATTTAGTAATTTAGTTATAGTTAACAAAGGGACAATTTAATACTTTCTTCATGTTACGTGGCAATCATAGGAGGTATTTGAAAGGGGAGTTTTTATTTTTAATATAGTAGGATATTGTTGGCTTTAATTTTAGCATGGAGAATTGCGAGCACAACATGCAAAGGGAGAGGAAAGCAGCATTTTCTTATACTTTCTTTTTCTTAAACCTTTTTACATCGTATAAATGAATTTTGGCTGCATCCATGAATATTTTTGCATTCCATCTCATTCCAGTTCTCAAAACAAATAGTGAATTTATAATACTATCAATTAGGCCACCCACCAGTTCCGTTGGCCACAGGATCCCCTGTGCCACTTTCTTGTGACACTCATGTGACATAATTCAATTACTCCTTATAAATTATATTATTTGTGATAATACATATACCATAGTCACATATTTTCAATGTAGATAATTTTCATATTCTTGTTTTATTTTTTATATCAATGTTTTATTTTTTTATGAAATTTGACTATTTTTATTGAATTTTTTAACTATAAAAATTAAAATAAATAAGCCTTAACCCGAAAAAAGTGAATCCTTAGTCATAAAATATATAAGTTCGAAAGTGATTGTGAATGGTATATGTATTAAAATAAATTATATAATTTATAAGGAGTAATTGGATTGTGTCACAAGAAAGTTGGCACAGAGCATTATGTGCCGTTGCGTTGGGAACTTGGGGGAGGAAGATGGTAATTAATCTTCGGTCATCAGCTTCCAACTTAAAAAATACTACTAAAATATAACACGAGGCTGATATAGAGACAACAAGAGATTTTATATCTCAAAAATCAACTAAGAAAAACTTGGTAAATCCAATAGACATTAGCAGGTCTTGGTCTTTGGCTTAAAATTAGGCTCCATATATATAGTGAACAAGTGTCGTAATGGTTAACATAACACGCAAAATATAAATATTCCTTTGGTACGTATGATACAATAATATGAGATAGGGAAAACAATGAGATTTTCTTTTAACCATGCGACACAGGAAAGGGAATCTCTCCATGACCGTTACCTCACTTCTTGCTTTTTTTCTTTTTTTTTTTTTTGGAAAAAAAAATTCTTATAGTATATTATGAAGTAGAACAAATGGCGTACAAGAAAAACAGTCGATTCAGTATGATTGATAAAAATAATTGTCGGCCTCTCACGGTTTTTCATCGGCTTGTAAAGTATAATTTGCAATGTTTATTTACGTTAATTAAGAAAATGTTAGAAAACAATTATAAAAAAAATCCTAATTGGACATTCGTAGCATTTCAGCAAGATCAACAGAGCCTTGTACTCCCACTGAAAAGACAAAGGTGAATAGATGCAGCTGAGGACAATTTCAAAATGATTGTGGTTTAATGTATATACAAAGTGGAACAAAAGATCCAAACTCTAATTTTACTATCTTTCAAATCCCATAACCAAGTTTCTAAAAAGAATAAACTCGTATTCCACCCCTCACTGTATACTTAAATGTGCAGATTGATCGAGGAAAGCATAGCTACAGAGATGGATCAAGCTTAAAGATTTTAAAAAATAAATAAAAAAAAGAAGAAAATGAAGCTGTAAAAACTCAAATTTATGTTTTTTTTTTTTTTTAAGGAGAAAGACACATTTCATCTCTATGTTAAAAGTTATATGTCGTGGGAAACCCCAGAAATTACAGTTTACAACTGGATAGTGGGGTAGCCCAACATGCCTGATAACTATTACTGACTGCCGACAGATTTCAGATGAAATATGTAATACCAATATATGAATTTTAGAGAAACTTAATTGGAAGCCTCAAAATCATGTTATATCAATATACCTTCTTTAACTATTATTTGAAATCCTCTCTATCAACAGGAAATATATTGCGTAATATTCAACAGAAGGCATAGCTAGAGATCTCTGCATCAAGCAAAAGAGAGAAATTTAGAAAGGAGGAGTTTAGTAGTCCTCTAGTTTCTCACTAGCTCTCAAAATCAATTAACTGCTGACAAACCCAAATGAGGCTCAATCAATTAATCATAAAGCCCTAAGTTTTGGACAATAAATCTTCAAAAGTTGACACAAGTTTTCATAGATTTAAATCATTAACTTACTTAGGTCAGGAGTAAACTAAACTAACTTTCACAAAAGTAGCAAATTTCTCAAGTAACCATGAGGAAATCAAGCAATCAGAAGAACATTTATAGTTGCAAATAGACAAGTAATTAAGCTCCCACTTATACAAGTTAATGCTCTCTCCTCCCTTATTCTATCAAATACCAATTTGAAAGAGAAGAATTAAAAGAGCCAAATCACTCCAACAAGGAGAAGAAAATAAAAGATAAGAGGCACAAATTAGTGAAGACAAACTGAACAAAAAAAAAACTTGCAATTTATGTAAGGAGACAATTATGATCAATCGCTCTTAACTAAAATCTCCTGGAAACTTAAAAAGAGTTGAGTTAATTAATTTCTGTTCACATACTCCTCACCCCAAAAGATTGAACTTAATTGGAGTTTGAGCAGCAGCTGCAGCTGGTTCAAGATGACCCCTTGATCTGGTGTTGAAGTTTGATTCATCCTCAATATTATCCCTTTCCCTAATGATTTGATGATGATGATGATGATTATCTTCATGATGATGAAGATGATTATTGGTGGCAGCACCATTTTTATTCTGATTGGCAGCAGCTTTCTCACCTTCCAACTCCCTAAACTTGTTCAAATACCTCTTCAAAGGCTCAGCATACTCATCAAACCCAAGGCTTCCCAAAGCCCAACAAATATCATCTCCATTCACAGTCTTCCTCTTCTCCTTATGACACTTATCAGATGCTTCCCCAGTCACAAAGCTGATGAACTCAGATGCACATTCCTGCATGGTTTCTTTGGCTTCTTTCGAGATTTTCGCATTCGGTGGCAAGATCTGCTTCATTATCCTCCCAACATTGGCGATCGGAAGCAGCCGATCTTGCTCCTTAATGGGTGTTATTCCATCGTCTCCCGACCCACCGCCACCGCTTCCTCCTCCTCCGGCTGCTGTTGATGATGCTATATTGGCGCCGGAAACAGAAGAAGAAGAATTGGTAGAGTTGTGATGGTAGTATTTGAAGGGGGTTCCTCCTCCAAGCTCTATATTGTCAACCATTTATTTCTAAAAGAAGAAACCAAAAACTTAAAACCAAAACCCCCTCAAACCTGTGAAACACAGACACGTTGCTCCCTTCTGTCGTTTAACTTGCCTCTTTTATAGATTTATATTCACATTTATTAATCACTATTACTTATTATTAATATTTTTTTTTGTTAGTAACTATTAATTGGTCTTTGTTCTTGGGTTAAAAGTCATATACACACGCATCATATGACAATTGATTAGGTTAAAGGTAGTAATCCTTAATTAATCTTTTTCTTTGCTTTTTTGGGGATGCAACTGTAACACTATTAGTCCTCACTTTTGTGTTTAAATTTGATTACATATTATCTACAATTTATACGTAAGTAGTATGTTATAGTCTACAAAATCATATTGGTTCTATCGCAAAATTATTGTCAAGCTTGATATTTCACTTTCAATACAGTTTGAACTAAAAATGAAAATCCAAATTGTACAATAATTTTGGAACAAAAGAAGTTATAATTAAGTTGTTAGGGTTGTATATGTTATGGGTTGGGTGAAGATAAAAATCATGGTTATCGAACTAATGTACATCAACAAACGTAACAGTCGGACGGAAAGATTCAGGCATGAGTTATTATGTACAAACGCGACATCATATAGGAGATATTAGAGAGTCTTATTCAGATAAATTTAATTTCCCTTGGAGTTAAAAAGCCGCCCCCTAGCTTCTAGAGAGATATGATTAACTTGGTCATCTAATTATAATCTTCTTCTTTCAAAAACTTGATAAACTAATCACTAAAATCATGAATGCATTGAGTAATGACGAAGTTCATGGAAGGAAGAGAAATTCTATTGGATTACATCATACAAAAACTTGGTAGCATATGTACGTGGCTCTCAACCAAAAGAATCTTTGCACATAGTCACACAGTGTGGCAGGCAAATTTCCAGTCATTTTACGCATGGGTATGAGTTAGGTCACTTTTCCTAAGCATTCAAATTCAAGAGGAGGATGTCCATCGAGATTTCGATTTACTTAATTACAATACTTTAATTCAATTTAACAATTTTCAAACCCGAAAACTCTCAAAAAAGAAATAAAATTAATTAATACTTACCTAGCTAGCTAGCTTTCTCTTCCTCCTAATATCAAATTACATACAGATCTTGTATATATGGTCCCCCCAACCCCATTATCTTCATTAATCACTGTAATCCTTTCAATAAGTATGGTTTATATTAATAATGTCTTCTGAGTTTTGGGAAGATGTGGTTGATAAAGATGCACGTGTACCTGTGCGTGATCTACAGTAAAATGCTACCAAACAAAACCTAAAAAAAGTATCATTGGAAGATGATCAAGCAACTTGAAGAAACATTAATTGAGGTTTTGAGTAATTAATTTAGTTTAGTTTTTGTTGTTAATGTTACGTGTTTAGTTGTAGCTTATGACAGCATGAATGCGACAGCACATTCATTCATGCAGACACAAACCCTATTCCAGGAACTCCGGACTAGCTAATTTAACCTTATTATAAGGGTAATAATTTATAAACCCACAATATATATAATTTAATCTGAACAATATATAGTCATGTTAGTGAAAGTGTTAATATGAAGCACAAAAAAAAAAAAAAAAATTTGTAAAGTTTTAACTTTTTTTACAAATTTTTTTTTTCGGTATAATGAAAACCAACCTAAAGTGGAAACCTAACATGAATTCATGAGTAGAAGACTCCTATGAGATGCAGTAAAAAGAAATAATCAATCCGTAGGGTAGTAAATAATTAACCAAGCATTCTTCATCATATATGTAAATGTGAACGAGCTGGTATTTGATTATTATCGACTGCGTTAGGTAATAATTAATATTCGGAGTGAAAGAAAAAGGTAACGTCGATCCTGGGAGGTAATTATTGGTATTTGTAAATTAAATAAACAAAGGATGTGCAAATATAGGTCATCTTCTTGGCAGTGGTTGACAAAGGAGAATTGCGGCACTCACCATTAGTGAAAGTGACTTGTTAAGGTTAAGTTCAGATACTCTTGGTAGATAGAAAAGGTCTAATATACATAGTTTATGCTGATGCTCATACTTTAGAAAACATTAATCTATGATAATTATCTCCTAAATCAAAAAGATACCTCGGCCGGCCTGTTAATTAATTCGTTTTAAAACCCTAATTGCCATGATGTAGGGTTCGGGAACACTGCTAATCGAATAAATATTTAAGGAGTTGGGAAAACACTTCAAGTTATTCGAAAACTACACATATTTGGTTGTTTTGATTCTGATAAGAAGTGGAGCTTATTACCAAATTGCTGGTCAATTGGCAGTTGCTCTCAGAGGCTACATCATCAATCCTAATTAATTAACCATAATAATGAGAAAAGGGGTGGTCCGAAAGCTACAATATTGACATCAAAGATGTAAAATCAAGTACGTTAAAACGTTTTGGTTAAATCAAGTTTCACTAATTAACCTTTTCGACTCGTTTATGCCAGTTGATTGATCGATTACTTCACTTAAGAATTCAAACCATAGAATCATAAATCCCATTCCCTATGCGAATTATCGATTCTAGTGGGCTACAAAATTATCTATTTCAGGCTGAATTATGATGTGGTGGCTCTCTCACATCATTAAAAATGTATGCCATTGATGCATACATTTTTGTTGATAGTTAAATGGTCATCAAAAGATTCAAACATCACAATCTTGAGATGTCTCCATATACAAGACCAGCTCAGTATAGCCACCATACACGTATGCATGTATATATTTTTTCATAATATGAAGTCCTGTTCATCGATCATTGTCTATTTGTTTAAAACAGGCAGAACTGATCAGAAGAGAATTTTCACAATTTATTATTCCCTCTGTCTCAAAATTATTGTCCAGTCTGAGATTTTACTTTTAGTACAATTTGAATTAGAAATGAAAACTCAAACTAAACAATAATTATGGGACGGAGGGAGTACAAAAATGGATGGCATTTAACAAGTTTTTGATGATATATACTATACATTTACTTCAAAAAAATTTAATCGGATCAATGTACTTTGATTCAGAAAATACAAAAACTAAAATAGATCCAGTTGCTAGTTACTGTTGAACAACATGAAAGTGGTCCTGCCGTCCAAGCATCGGTTAAACAAAACCCTCAAATGCCGATTCTCTCTATTTGTTTATTAAAAGGGATGAGCATCAATAGTGGGGGACGAATAATTAAGATAGAGAAACAAGTAATCACTGTATATGGTGTTTTTGGAATGTATATTTAGGTGTATAAATAATTCTGTTTCTTGAGAATTTTGGGAAATTTGTGTGTTTGTTAAAAAACCAATCACTGAAAGTGGTACTATGCATGCATGCATGCAGATATGTCTATTTAATTGCAAAAACGTCCCTCGAAAGTTTAATGAGGAATATTGACCCAATTGGAAGAATGTAACATATAGCTGCCTCCATTTTTTCCATTTTAGCATTTCATCTCTATAGCATTAGATCTTCACAAATTAGATTTTAAATTTTTTCACTGAGTTCGGCCAATTATTAGAATTTCTTGCATTCTTGTAGGTAGATCTAGATTACCTTTTATTTGAGATTTTAGCTTTGATGTTTCGGGTTTGTGATTTGTGAATCTAGTTGCCAATTTTTTAAAACTTAGATTAATTTTCAGTACCTCGATAAGCAATGAAAAAATACATTTACATACGTTTGTTTATCCCATTCTGAGGCAGGGTAACCAAGTTCAAATAACTAATTAGAGAGTGTTGCTTTTGTTAAATTACAGTCAAAATGAGGAGAAAACCTACGGTAAAATTAAACCATTATACCTCATAGGATTGTGAAATTAAAGACAAATAATAGGTAAACATGTAATTTTACTGGAAAAAGTTAATAACAGATTAAAGGATCTTATAGTAGGTGTATTACTGCACTAAAAAAGGGCCATCTGCTAGTAGATTTTTTTTACATGCTTTATTTAGTACTCCCTCTGAAGTTTGATGCTATTTATAATTCATTTCAAAGTTCAAATTTCTGCTTCATAGAACAGGACTGGCTGCATTATTTTGCAGAGTTTTTGAAGGGTCAATTTGTAACTAGGACATGAACTGACTACAATTTTTTCTTAATTGGCCATACACCAGAGGAAAGGACAATGCTGATTAGTTTAATTAATCTAATAATCTGTCTTTTAGAAAAATCTCATCAGGAAGAGAAAAACTTTGGAGTTTCCAGAAAAAAGGTAGGTTATCTTTTATAGAAGAGGTATTTTTTTCCCCTGTTAATATCTTTTCTTTAAAGGCCAGGAGGTCATGTAGCTAGGTCTTTCACACACTAGCTTTAAAATTAAGAGAATCTTGAGATTCCCCCCACTCTATCCAACAAATATTACACTATCTCTCTCCATCTTAATCTGCTTTTAATGGGCATCTCATCTTTGGCATATTGGCACTGTCAAGGTTTCAAGTTTGGACCAATCTACACAAAGTCTTATGAAAACCATTACCCATTTTATTCATATCTTTACAGATACTCTCCCTCTTTTTTCGTTTACTTTAAAAAGAAATATTTCTTTTTTCATATGTAACTTAATGCTATTCCAAATTTCGCAATGTACAAATTATTTGTTTTTTGGGGGAACCAAAGGTAGTACCTTGAGACTACATGCTCTCCATTTCATTAATGTGGAAGGACATATCAAACTTAAACATGAAAAAGAGAATACCAATTTGACAAGACAACAATTCTGCACGAAGAATATACTCTCTCCGTCATGTAATTATTGTCCAGTTTAGATTTTCAATTTAATTTAATTTTTACTAAAAATAAAATTTCAAACTAGATAATATTTTCATGATGGAAGAAGTATATGATTCGAAGTTTTCCAATTTTTATATTTACTTATTCCAGTTCATAAATTTATAGAAATTATTCAAAAGTCAAGACCTAGAATAATCTAGTGGCACAAGTTTTTGGGCGCAGAGAGTAACTGATATCCTGCTTCATTTGACCCACAAATAAAAAAGTAAATAAATAAAAATCCTTTGAACTAGGAGCACAACCTTGTTCATTGACAAAGGTACCCAAATTTGCTCTTAAAGGAAATTACATGTTTCGACATAATGCGGTATTCAATTCATAATATATTCAGAGTGCTAAATCGTTGGATTATGTATTTAGGACGCG